CTTTGAAACAATTACATATACAAGAAATGATCAAGAATACTATTATATTTATATATGATTTATCTACTTTAAATCTGTAAACAGTTATTGTTAAAAATTTCTCTATAAATGGAGAGACAGTTTTTAATAAACTTACAACATTCTACTAATTCCCCATTTGGGTTATATTGGTATAAATTATACATAAAAATGTTTTCCAGAATAAATACTGTTTAAAAAATTTTCTATGCTCCTTCTGTGTTCATTTTCTTTTTTAAAATGGAGTCATGTAGATTTTCCTCATGATTTGTGAGAAGTAAATATTTCTTAATTTTAGAAAGTCCTAAAACCAAGAATATATTTTGAGTTTCATAATTAATATTAAAAGAAAGCTGATTAAGGATATCAATAATAATAATAATAATAATAATAATAATAATAATAATAATAATAATAATAATAATAATAATAATAATAATAATATTAATACTTTTTAATAGCTCCAAAATGCAGATGTCCACTAATGAAGTGATCAAAGTAATGAATTTACAAAATAGATAAGTAGATACACTTTGCTGAAACTTGGACATTAAAAGGAGAGTTTCTGCATGAAAAATGCAAACTGACAAATAAAAGTGATTTATAATGAAAAAGATCTTTAAGTGAAATAATCGCCTTTTCACAAAGCTTTTCCTATAAAAACAAGTCACAGCATTAACGTTATGAATGGACATTGATTTACTGCTGTCATAGAAAGCCATTCATTGTCATTGTTGGGGATTATAAGACACATTTTTGCTCTCTGAAACAATTTCTTTCTAGCTTTTCTTCTTCTCAAAATATATAAGATATTGTTTCAATAGAAAATATATTTCACATATGCATCACTGCAAATATATCATGAAAGTTTGAACAACAATTAATGAAAAAAAACCTTCATGAAAGTGATTGCCTTTATTCACAAAAGTGTCTTTACTGGCTGAGCATGTAAAAACTGAAGTAATGTTTCCATTTAAAAAAAAATTATTCTGACATGTTCTCTCTGTTACAAAACAACCATCAATTTTTTATGAAATTGTTATATTTCTTATATAAAAACTATTTTCCTTATTAAGAATTTTTTTCTACAAAGAAATAAACAACTTTTTCAATTAAATATTTTCATTGTCAAGGAAAATCGAATTTTTCAGTACAAATTTTACAGTTTGAAAATAACACCATCAATGAAGAAATACTTCAAAATTGAGCTGATAAAAACAAAATTGCTATTATTTTAAAATCAGTATTCCTAAAATCTGTTTCTGAATTTATTATGATCATTGTCCACCCCTAGATTTCAGATTTTACTGGGTTAAGTCAGGGGTGGGAGTCAGTACAGTATGCATCAATAATAACCTTCAAGAGTTGAGGCTTCACATATAACATGCTGTCCACCGTCTACATTCATTATTATGGGAAGTTTGTGGTTAAATAAATGTTACTTCCAACTACACCTATCAAAATGACCTTATTTATAAGTTAGGATATAAATAGCATTGAAAAAATCAATGTGCCAATGTGGTCATTAACTAAATACATGTACAAATACTTGTGTAAATGAAGCATAAAATACGTAAGTCACAATGACCTTCTTAGGTTGTAAGGATATCAGTTATCAACATTCATGATCTGAACATAAACTCCCCATAAATAAACACAAAGTTTCAATAAACATCACTAATTCATGCAATACAGATCAAATAACACTCTTTTGAAAAATGATGAAGAACTTGCCAAGATGCATTCGCTCACTAGGTTCTATGATTCTAGGTAGAAGAGTATGCATGTGGCATACCAAATACTCATCTGTCATAAGCTGAAAGCTGGGGCATAGCTACCAATTAGTAAGAATGCAAAGCATAGGGACCCACAATTACAGAGAGCCTATGAGCTCATTCCAAACAAATTAATTTTTTGACACTAATACAAGAAGCTGGGAACAGGCAATATATCACCTATCAAATACCATAAAATTTGACCCACAAAATTGCTATCAACATAGGGGCCCAAATATCCAATTATTAACACTACAGGGGCCACCCATCGGTAAGATTTGCATAGGGGCTCAAATATCTAACTATTAACACTACAGGGGCCACCCATCAGTAAGCTTTTCATAGGGGCCCAAATATCCAACTATTAACACTACAAGGGCCATCCATCGGTAAGATTTGCATAGGGGCCCAAATATCCAATTATGAACACTACAGGGGCCACCCATCGGTAAGCTTTGCATAGGGGCCCAAATATCCAACTATTAACACTACAAGGGCCATCCATCGGTAAGATTTGCATAGGGGCCCAAATATCCAACTATTAACACTACAAGGGCCATCCATCGGTAAGATTTGCATAGGGGCCCAAATATCCAACTATTAACACTACAGGGACCACCCATCAGTAAGCTTTGCATAGGGACCCAAATATCCTGGCTAGGCCAATGACTGAAACAAAGTTTTGACCAAATCCAGCAAATAATAAACAGGTCATATAAGGCTTCTTTATTTGTACGAATGTGGTAATAATAGAGCTGTATATTCTCATTAATTTAGTGGTTCTAGCATGAACAGTGCCTGAGAAATGAACACTAACAACAAAATTTAACCTAAATGAAGCATAAAATAGGAACCAAAAGGACATTCTACATTGTACTGAGATGAGAGAATAGTGTACATGAAGATGCATTCCTTTATTAAGCATCATAATTCTAGATAGCATGCAATAGCATGCAGCAAAGATTTTGGTCACCAGCTAAATGCAAAACCCTAATATAAGCCAGTAAAATATGAAATTTTGGGCATGGTGACATTTTTTTTTTATGAGAGTGGCACTAACACAGATGTAGAGACATAAAGATTGTAGTTCAGATGGTAGTGTGTTGGACTGCTAATCCATGGGTTGTGGGTTTGATATCTACCTAGGTCATCCTGGAACAGCTACCTTGGCGAATCCTTTGGAAAGGCACTTAGCTAGCTCCAATTACATTGATATAGGAAATAAGGTACTAAAAGTGCCATTGAAAATCCCCAAAACAAAAAACATGTCTAGAATCAAGTTTAATAATTTGTGCACTAACAGGTAAAACACAAAAACTGTAACCAAGTTAGTTAAGTGTGAAATATGGGTCATTGTGGCATCCTATTGTGACAAGTGTGTAGTCAAGGTTCCACTCAAGGTCTTTTTAAATACTTTTCAGCTTCTCAAAAATAAAGTTTCAGGACCTCACATATAGACAGTACAGGTGAAAATATCATACAGAATGATAATGAATACAAACTACAAAAAGCTGAATCACCAGATATCATAAACAAAATAACTGATCATTTATAAACCAACAATGCCATTATTATATTATGATGTTTGGTGAAAATGGCCTAAAATAATTTTAGATGGGAGCATAAATGATATATTTTCAAGGACTTTAATTTTACTAACAGAGATGCATAAAATCCATGACTTTTGGCCAGGTGAGTTACACTGTGGCCAAGGGTTAAAGGTAATACACTGGAATAAAAAATATAAAAAATACAGTGTAAGCCAGATATTATTTTATGAATAGTTCCATTTAAATTTAAATCATCAAAAATGTTAGTATGATGAAGTTTGGCCAAAAGCCATATATTGTTGCTGTTTTTTTTTTTTTTTTTATTTTGGGTTAAATACCATTTATCAGCATATCAATGGTCGAGGAAGAACACTGTCTCTGACACAAGACTTGTGTCCCTGATGAGAGATAATCAAGTGTAATTTTTTCTAGTCTTTTTTCAAGCCATATTGACTGGAGTTCACATTTTGAGATATTTGATGCTTCTAAGATGTACAAGTAGTGTTTTTACAGCACATTTATCCAAAAGCATACCCTTTGGACATAAAGGCTCCTTTGTTTCTCAAGCTGAGCTTTGGCCTGGTAAATGTTTATGTACGTGTGTAGTAATTAAATGGCTGTTTACAGTACTGGTATAGACTTTTGAAGTTGAAACTGTTAATAATATTAGAGATAATTTAACAGATTTATTGCCTTTAATTAGCAACAGTAGTTTATAGGTACTTTTATTGGAAATATAATTTTTATACTCTGATAACCTGTGCCAACCTCTGCATAACCTGAGTTGCATTTGTTTCAGTTATAGTTTGTTGCAAAGACTAAAATAGAAGTTTACCAGTTAGTGTGATTGGATATGAAGTCATAACATTCATACACGCTAATATATTAGTTTCAAAACAAATCATTACTGAGAAATTAAAGGGAGATTTCTCACTTAGAAGGAACCACGGTATTGAAAAAAAAACAGGATATATCAGGATGTCTTCTGTGAAGTCCACTGGTTTGATTTAAAAGAGGGCAGTGTTGGTTATCAGTGGGGATTCACATTCAAACACTCCAATCATAAAATTTGCTACCAGCTGTCAGAAAGAAAACATCATGGGTTTGTAGATGAGGAGTGAGGACTGCATGCAGTTGCCTTGGATTGGTCCAGTGCAGTGTAAGGTCAGCTGTGCAGTGTAAGGTCAGCTGTGCAGTGTAGGTCAGCTGTGCAGTGTAAGGTCAGCTGTACAGTGTAAGGTCAGCTGTGCAGTGTAAGGTCAGCTGTGCAGTGTAGGTCAGCTGTGCAGTGTAAGGTCAGCTGTGCAGTGTAAGGTCAGCTGTGCAGTGTAAGGTCAGCTGTGCAGTGTAAGGTCAGCCTACTCTAAGATTGAGCTGCAGCATGTAAGGAAGGATTGGAGCTACCTGCCATATATGGATTAATTCTGCACAGAAACCAGCCAACCAGTGATGTGATGTGATTATGATTTTTAACGAAGCTTTTAAAAAAATTTCAGTCATATTTCCAAGATGTCTGCAGTGTGGCAGTTTGTAGTGATATCTAGCACTGGGGCATCATGCCGCAGACATGTAACATGATGTCCCAACAAAGTCACATTATCCTTACACCAGGCCGACCAGTCCTAACACTTACCTCTTAATGCTGAGTGTCAAGTCTTTGTTATGACTTGACATGAGGATCAAACCCACAACCTCCTGCATTTGAGGCGGAAGCTCTAACCACTAGGCCACCAGAGTGGTTACCAGGCAACCAGTGTTTGGAGGGAAGAAAGCAGAGGTTAGAGGATTGGAGTAGATGCAGAAAACATGCCAAGAAACTTTGGTGATTGAGGTGTTCTATTCTGCCCACATCTGATTAACCAATATGGACTTACTGCTTTCAATCTTGCTGACTGTATGACGTTTTCATTTGGTTTCAAAAACCCTTTTCAGACACAACTTTTAAAAATCACTGTGAAAACAAAACTATAATTTAAGCAAGAACAAGGAAAATTAAATCACTAAATTATGGAAGGTTAAATTATTACCCCATATTGGTTTACATTTTTCAGAAACATTAAATACACTTGATGCACCAAATATTAAAACTTAAGGGAATAAGGAAATTTGAAGTAGGTAATTACAATAAAAATATGTGGCTAACACAGAACTGGCAGATAGGGTAAGCCCAACTAAAAAAAATGGGTAGAATGAGACAAAGAGTTCTACAGACATTTCAGTTTGTGATTCTGCTGTTGATTTGTGTTTCTGGACATGTCTTCTCTAATTTGGCTGTACTATTACTGAAATCTCTTTGTTCATGCAGTCTTTTAAAATCCAATCTAGCTAAAACGTGTTTGCCATATAAATACCTTAAGCTTTCTCTCAAATGAAAGTGCCATCATCATTTAGTAGAATATATATTAGCTGATTACAATTTTCATCTATTGAACGAAACAGTACTTTCAGATTCACATTGCTGACCACTGGCCTGTTAGTTACACTGTGCAAACAGCACGTATGTATTTAAGTAAATTAAATGTAATAGCATATAGTAAAGACTTTTGAATTTGAAACTTCTGATTATAGCTTATATGTAGTTTTACAGGAAATACTGTTTTGTTGTTATACCTCAACTCTCATAATCTCTTAGTACATTTATTTTCCATTTATATTTTGTTGCCAAGATTGAAAGTGTAATCAGATTTAGTTTTCACTTGCATGTTGATATATTAACTTCTAGACAAATCATTACAGACATCTTAAGAAACACAGATTGATGTACTAGAAAGACACCAGTTAATGAGTAAAAAAGGATATTGGGATGTCTAATCTGTGAAATCCACTTGTTTAATTAATAAAAGGGTCACATTGTTTACCAATGGGATTCATTTAGCAAAAGGTAGCAATTAAACATGTAACCAAAAGCTTGTTTTGTCTGCTGTATCATAACTGCCCATGTAGCACACCACTTCTAGATAATTGATCTGTCCAGAGTTGTCTTATAGCTCATTTATTTATCTCCACGGGCAATAAGTGACAGTGTGGTATAAAGCGCATATTGTTACAGATGACAGCCATCTCAACTCTGTGTGTGTGGGTTCGAGTCACATGTTCAGCCGATGTGGATATGTGAAAAAGCTTGCCAATGACTTCTCATGAGTCGGTGGTTCTTTCTGGGGTTTTCTCCGGTTATTCCTCCACCATTAATTACTGGGTGCCATTGATAAACTGTGATGAACAATAGTGTTAAACCCGTCAACAACAACAATTTCTATCCAAATTCTAGCAATGACATCAGCACCAGAAAGCATTTAAAATGAAACCAATCTATTTAAAATCAAATCTTTGCAACTGAAAACCACAATTTGACATCATTATGATACCAAAGGTCACAATATATTTGCTTACAAGTTAGATCCAATTGCAAATAATGTATCACTCTACCACTGAGTAATGCACTGGCAGATCAAGGTGTATGCTTTTTGCAGAATGATGCAAGTATACACAGTAGTTATTACCTTTCTGTTGGGTACTATGTGTGAATTCCCATTTTCATTGGCTATAGTTTTGACCCTGGGGCCAGTCACCAAAAAGTAGGAAGACACACAGGGGCAATGCTGGTTGCATATATGACTTGGCCAAATTCATGTAATAAAAGTGTATATTGTTACAGAGTGGTTATCTCTATGCTATCCAAGTTATGATCCTTTGGACATGCCACAAATTGTAAAAACCAACACAGGGTCAGGATTTAGGGTAATACTGGATAGAAAAAGAAAGTAAACTTTTAACTTGAGCAATATTCCAAAGATAAATCCAAGGATAAAAGAATGAATCATTATGATTCTTAGCAAATATGCATTAAATTGTATTCAAAAAAGTAAAACCCAGAGTGAACCTTTACGTCCCTCAACAGTTTCCACTCATTCAACATTAAATCAAGCAAGTTTCATCAATATTAAAAGCTTTAGAGTTATGGGCTTAAAGAAAAAGATTCCACAATGAATTGAACACGAAACCACCAGTGATGATATCAGAAGCTCTAGGTGTTCAAAAGAACAACAACCTTTAAAAGATGTATCCACTACAACATTTATTTATTATGCTCTTAGTATGGATGGCTGAAAAATTTATACTTATCTCAAATTGCACAAAAATTATACCTATTTCACACAAAAGTGCCAACATTTGCAAAAAAAGCCTTGTTCCTAGAACTGACAAGTCTTAAGAACTTGACTAACAAGTCTGTCATATGCGATGAGTAGTATATTTAATTCCATGGCATGTATTACATTTATTTCACTTACACATTGTTTTAATAGAAAAGACAATCTTCGCTAGAACTTCTCAAGAGGCAATCTTCTATAGCCCTCTCAAGACAATCTTCACTGGCCTTCCCACAGGACAATATTTACTAGTCCTTCTTACAAGACAATCTTTACTAGTCCTTCCCACATGACAATCTTTACTTGTCCTTCCCACAAGACAAGCTTCACAAGACATTTCCACAAGACAATCTTCACTAGATCTTCCCACAAGAAAATCTTTACTTGTCCTTCCCACAAGACAATCTTTACTTGTCCTTCCCACATGACAATCTTTACTAGTCCTTCCCACAAGACAATCTTCACTAGATCTTCCCACAAGAAAATCTTTACTTGTCCTTCCCACAAGACAATCTTTACTAGTCCTTCCCACATGACAATCTTTACTTGTCCTTCCCACAAGACAAGCTTCACAAGACATTTCCACAAGACAATCTTCACTAGATCTTCCCACAAGAAAATCTTTACTTGTCCTTCCCACAAGACAATCTTCACAAGACATTTCCACAAGACAATCTTCACTAGACCTTCCCACAAGACAATCTTTACTTGTCCTTCCCACAAGACAATCTTCACAAGACATTTCCACAAGACAATCTTCACTAGACCTTCCCACAAGACAATCTTTACTTGTCCTTCCCACAAGACAAGCTTCTCAAGACATTTCCACAAGACAATCTTCACTAGACCTTACCCCAAGACAATCTTTACTTGTCCTTCCCACAAGACAATCTTTACTTTTCCTTCCCACAAGACAAGCTTCACAAGACATTTCCACAAGACAATTTTTACTTTTCCTTCCCACAAGACAATCTTTACTTGTCCTTCCCACAAGACAAGCTTCACAAGACATTTCCACAAGACAATCGTCACTAGTCCTTTCCCCAAGACAATCTTTACAAGTCCTTCCCACAAGACAATCATTACTAGTCCTACCTATAAAACAATGTCAAAGCATGTTGAGATTTGCAAGCAACTGGACCATTGAAATTATGCAAACTATTAGTCTGACAGGAAATCTACTAGCTATGAGCTGGCAGACAACCACTAATTTTAAACCTTACACCATTAAACTCTGATGACAGTATAGCTTGCCTTTTGTAGCACAATTCATGGGGCATTTTGTATTGGAATTTCAAGAAACAGTAGAAGCAGGTGAATGGGGAAATATAAACAAAACACTCTCTAACTGGGAATTTAGGTGATTACTACTTACTTTGATTACTACCCACTAAATGTGTAAACTGTAGAGTCGAAAGTGCACAAGACATGGCTCTTAAATAACCATGAGTGAAGACAATAAAACAAATATAGGTCACACTGACATACTTTTGGAATGATAGTTATATACTCCATAGAATCCACACAAGTGCATAGTCCTACAAAACTACAAAACTGCATGAGAAGCTGATATCAAATCAGAGCTAAAGTACTTTGAAAGAAGTAATTTAGATCACATTGACCTAGTTTTGCAATAATTTAGTACCAAAATAATGGCTTCAAAGATAATACTTTATGACTGTACATTCCAAGTTGTGACATACTAAATATCCAAGGTAAAAAATCATTTAAGTTTTAAATGTATATTATAGTGACATAATTTTGACAAGAAAGTTTTTGTTTCTTCAAGTTTGATCCACACACTAAACTCACATACTTTTGTCAACAAGATATATTTTCAGAAAGTTGAATTCACAAGCTAAACTAAAAGATCCTGTAAATAATTACCTGAAATACTGACCTAAAGTGATGTAAAACTGAACCAAATAATGACAGAGATGGTTTAACAGAGGAACAGCTGGAGTGGCTTTCTCTAAAGTAACAGACATAGGTTAAATACAGTCAGTGTTTACATCATGACTAAAAGGTCATTCACATTTAAAGATGTGATAACCTACAAGTTATGTGCACTAAACACACCATTCCCACCATGTATTTTCTGCATTTTACACATTACAATTAGCAGAGGTGCATAAGTTTTATCCTCACCCTTATGGTTTAACAAATTTAGACATAGCTACTTGAAAATTCTAAGCCAAATGAACATCTTAATTGGAATAGTGTATCTTGTTCCATTATATCTTCTTGAGTTAAATAACTATCTTAAGAATAATTTTTATGTGGACCCTTGTCAATTCTCGAAATAATTTGATATTTAATCATGAGCTGTTATTTCAAAAAGACATAATGGAATGGTTGTGCTTTGCAACTTTTATGATTTTTCAACTGGAAAAGTCAATGTTTCCCACTCAGCATGGTCATACCAAAGATGCTGTTCCCTCTTATGACCATTGTGAAATGAAAAGGTTTAAAGTTGCATTTTATGTTTTCATGAAATCCTAGATGCTTATTAATTAATGCAGTTGAAAGAATAAATATGTCGTCCTTGGGGTTTACAAATTTTAATGATATACACTTCCAAGCTG